TCTTTCATCCGGTGCATATCTTCTAGAATACTCCACTCACGTCGTGAGTACGTGATTTGTTGGGTTTTTATTTCTTCTTTCATCTGGTGCATATCTTCTACAAATACTCCCAGGACATAGTCTCCAATCCTTACCGTCTGACCCTAAAGGGTCACGCAGACTCCTAGCATCCTAACATAAACAACAAGGGCCGACATTGGTGCCTTAGACTCACAAAACCCTGTGAGGGAACTCACCTTGACTGCTGAATCTCACTGAAAAGTCCTTAGCTGCTGGTCCAACGAATCCATGAGCTAATCAATACCAAAACAACACCCAATTAACATTTGGTTCCCAATCCATAACCATAAGTCCAACAATCCATAATTAGGGTAAAAAGACCATTTTACCCCTCACCTAGTTTGGTCCAAGACTAAGGCCCAAACTCACAATCTAAAAGGCCCAAAACCAAATAATCATCCAAAGCCCACTTATGGCCCAATTTTACAAATTGGGGCCCAAACCACTTCATGGGCCTTACCCTAAAGCCCCACGATTTTCCTAGTGCAAACTCTTAGCCCAAAATCTTGATTCCAGGTGGCCCTCTAAGGCCCAAAGCAACAAAGTCCAAAGAAATGACCCAATTGAGGCCCAAAAGCTGCGAAGCCCAACAGACTGAGTACATGGGGCATACTCAGTTGTACACTAAGCGTACAAGCAACTTGGGTTGTACGTCGCGCGTACGGACTTGTACGCCCAACGCACTCAACCATTAAGCCAAAATCAACCATAAGATCTTAATGCTTAAGACCAGAAGCCCAAACAACAGATCCAAGTCCTAATAAGCGTCTATAACCATAAAGTCACTGACTAGGTGACTTTGCATGCCCCATAAAGACCCAACTTCAAAATATAACACCCTACTTTCATCAAATGGACATAAACTCTTGCATGGATGAATCTAAACCTTAAAGGTGACAACTTTATGCATCTAGAACCTCAGAAACACCAAGAGTGGCAACTCAAAGCTCTTGGAGTGGTATCAAACCACTAGATCTCATTCTTGAGGCCAAAAGGGACCAAAACACACAAATGATAGATCTAATCCACTCATGAGAAAGTTCATAGCTTTTTACCTCAAACAAGTTGGAAATGAAGCAAATAAACGAGATCCACAAGCTCTTCCTTGATCCACCACATTGCACCAAGCTTTTACTTCTTGAATATGAACCAAAACCACCAAAAATGAACAGAATGAGCTCAAAACACAAAGGAGAGGCTTAGGGGTTTCGAGCTTGAGGCTATAGGGACAATGAAGACTTAGAAATGAGGGTTTCATGGTCCATAATGATGTTTATATAGCGCCTAACCCCAAAAATTAGGGTTTCCAAATGACTCACGTACGCCCCGCGTACATACATGTAAGCCCAACGTACATGTCCAGAGTCCCGATCACACCTCCCATGAGTATGCTAAGCGTACCATGTGGTACGCCCAACATACTCGCTTTACAGCTTGTACGCTAAGCGTACAATATGGTACGCCCCGCGTATAACTTAAGGACCAAAAATGCAACATTAATAACAATGAGGGCAATAAAGAAACTTACCAGAATTCAAGTGTTACAAACAAATTACTGAAATCGTCCTAGTGCTTTGCAAAAAATTTGCATTTGGTCCCTATCTTTTGTTTTGCACTCGGATCATCCCTCTAGTTTATTTTGGTTTCGTTTTTCGTCCCTAGCAGAATTAAAAAGACTATTTTTCCCTTTTTATTTTTTTTCAATTTTTTTTATTATTTGTTCATTATTTATTAATTAAATAAATCAACTAAAAGATTTATAGGCCTGGGTCCCACATACCCCTGTTCCCTACCCCTCCCCTACCCACTCATTCCTTTCTATAGTCACGAACTCATGATCGATTTGCTCAAAAAATCGCTCCAGCTTCTTAAACACAAACATGAAGCCATCAATCTCTAACTCAACCCCCCCCCCCCCCATCGGAGCCATCGCTGTCGCCTAAAAACTGCAAGTATAAACTCGTCGCCGCCCTAGGGTCTTCATCTTTCTGATATCTTTTTATTTGTTGACAGATGTGAGGTCAAGGCTTCTTTGATCTCTGTTGTTCTCCTCCGCCTCCTCACTCATCCTATTAGAAGCTCTGCCCAAGTGCATGTTAATTTTGGGGAATGATTTTTAGTATAGGGTTCGATTTGGTTAACACCATCATTTTCATCAACCTTCTTTTCTTTTACCCATTCGAAATAAACCACGGTACACCGAGATACATACCAATTTGGGTTTTTGTTTTTCTAATTAGACATAGGCAATGATAAATATGGTGTCTTATTCTTTCTCTCTTTTTTCCCCATCAATTTTACCTAGTAATGAGTGAATTTATGCTGTTAGTTGATGATTGTGGTGATGGAGGTTTGTTTGATTTGATTATAGGTTTTAGTTTTAATTATGTAGGGTTTGATTTTTATTTTGGTTTAAGTTCTTTTGATTTGGTGTGGTGACCGGTGGTGGTTGGTAAAGGAGGCGAATGAGATTGACTATGGTTGTTGAACGGAGGTTAGCGGATGTGGAGGTGTTGCTGGAGAACCTTTCTCTTTCGCTCTACTCAGTTTCTCACTTAAAAGATCCCATACACCATAGGTTTCAAGTTTTTGAAAAAAAAAAAAAACGCAGATTTCACATTGTAGTCAGTGGTGGTGCCTAAATAGGTGGATGGTGGTAGTGTGACTGTCAGAATAAATGGATGGTGGTTGCCAATGGTATATGGTGGTTTTCGGTGACCAATGGTGGTTGTCAGTGACCGATGGTGGTTGGATGCAAGTGGGAGTATGAGTGGGTCCCATGTCTATAATTGATTTCTTTAATTAATAAATAATATACAGATAATAAAAAATGAAAAAGAAAATACAAATGGAAAAATAGTCTTTTTACTTTTTCCAGGTACGAAAAACGAAATGAAAGCAAACTATAAGGACGGTCTGAGTACAAAACAAAAGATAATGACCTGACAATTTTTTTTTACAAACCACATGGACGATTTCAGTAATTTGTTCTAAAAGAAAATATTCACCCACTGTTAGTGTAAATTACACAAATCGTCCCTCATGCAGGTGTCAAAATGCACGTCCAGTCCCTATTTTCAAAAATTAACTCGGATCGTCAATGAGTTGCCATTTCCTTACACGTTAGTCCATATCGTCGTTAGCCGTTAGTGGTTGCCATTAAATTGTCTCACGCTCCTTGCACGCTTGTTAGGATCGTCCCTCGTTTGTTTAAAATTTGCACGTTTCATCAATCATTTGTTTAAATTTGCATATTGTATCCTTAATGGACATAAAATAACTATATTACACTCACTATTTTATTTTTAATCTAATTATAATTTATTTTGTATTTACCACAAATTAGATTCCACCCCCATCCAACTTACCCTAAAATTCTAACTCAATATATCTTTGTCCCCTATTTTTTTCACTAAGATCGTCTCCTAAAAAGCTCTAACATTATAACTTTTGTCGGTTCATTAAGTGTCGGAGACGGTAAACTCACCAGAGCAAAGAAACATAAAACACGCATACCTTGTATGTGTGTGCTTGTGTGATGCCAAGATAAAGGGAAAGAGAGTCGGAGATCTATATTCCGATAATAAATTCATTCGGATATGTGATCTAGGGTACGCCAACAACAATTCCCTTTGCTGCTATCCTCTCTTATCTTCTCTGTTTAAATATGTGATTTAGAGTACACCATTAACAACCCATTTTTATATGGATTTCACATCTACACTCCATTCACGGATCTATATTATGACAACTCCTATCTCTTCTTCGGGTGGTGACAGGTAGTGGTTGCAAGAGTTGAGAAAGAAGATAGGACACAAATCTAGGGTTTCGATTCTACATATCACTCCCTCTGGATTTTGCATCGATGTTGGGATTTCATAATTGATTTTAGGGTTGGGGACTTCATCTTGAAAATCAATGACAATTATAGATTTTAGATTAGGATTTGGTGTTGATTATATGTTTCATTTTATGGTTATAATATCAGATTTGGTTTGAGTTTATATTTTGGTTGTAATATTAAATTGGTGGTGCATGATGGTGGTTGGAAGAGGTGCCGACGATGAAAGGAGATGGTCGTTGGCGATGATAGGTGGTGGTTGCCCAGATTGACAAAGAGGGGGGGGGGGGGGGAGAGAAAGAGAGAGAGAGAGATGAAAATGGTATAAGTTTTTAAAATTTATAATTAATCTAGTTTTAATTAATGAATTATAAATAAATGAAAAATAAATAGAAAAGGGCAATATAGTCTTTTATAAAGAAAACACGGACTGAAATGATAAATTTAAAAGAAATGATTTGAGGCACTTAAACGGAAACCTCTCAAATGAGAGGTTATGGATTCAAGGCTTATGTGGTGTTTAAGATTAAATTAGTATGTGGTGTTTAAGATTAAATTAGTAACATGATAGTTTGATGTTAAAAAAAAAAAAAAAAAAAAAAAAAAAAAAGCGCCCAAGAACGTGAAATTTACTCCTTGCTTTATTCTCCCGAGTCCCGTCCTCAACCATTTCCACAGAGACAAAATAAACCTCTGCTTCCTCCCGCCTCCGGAGTCTGAAACAGAAAAAGCCCTCTGCGCCACCGCCTTCTGCCCTGCTGCTGCTCTCGGAGCCTCTCCATATCTGTCTCTCATACTTGGTCTCTCTTTCGTAGCTGCTCTCGATCTGCTTCTTGGTGTAAAATTATTTATAATCTTTACTCCTTTAGTTGATAAATATTATTTGTTGGTAGTAACAGTTTATTTAATTGAGATTTGTCACTTATCAGTTATTAAGTATTTGTTGGTAGTAATTAACCTGTGTTGAATTTTAGTTATCAATGGTTATGCAACATAGGGTTCTTGATTTGCTAATCGGGATTTTTGTTAAGGTTTGTTAAGAGGTTAGTATTTGTTAGCTTTTTTTTTTTTTTGGATCTGCCATTGCTACAATCTATCCATGGAAGACTTACCTGTACATGTGATGGTCGATATTCTCTCAAGACTCCCTGTGAAGACAATCATCCACTGCAAGTCTGTATGCAAGAAGTTGCTGGATCTCGTTTCCGACTCTTACTTTGTCAATCTTCACCTCTCCAGATCACCCGTAGGCCTCATGATCTACCATTACTCGGAAAAAGAATTGATGGGTCACCTGAAAATGCGTGTTTTGAAGTGGGTGGAGGTCAAAGACGAAGTCAATCACCACAATTTACACCACGACCCTGTCATGAGCCTTGACCTTAACCTTTCACCCATTTTCCAAGACTCTCAAATACTCCTAATGGGCTCAGTCAACGGCTTGATCTGCTTGTGGCAGGTTTGTGCTAAAATTGATAACATTTACATATGCAATCCAATCACAAGAGAGTACATGATCCTCCCTAGACAACAATACCATGGAAAAGGGTATGCTATAAATGTTCATTGTTTTGGTGTCAGTTTACTCTCACATGAATACAAAGTCATACGGATCTTCCAAAGGGTATTAATATTACCCCTAAATCCAACCTCATCATTATCATCATCATCTCAGCCGAGTTTATTGGAAGCTGAGGTTTACACTTTAGGCACTGGTCAATGGAGAAGCCTTGGTCATGTCCCGTATAAGATTAATGGATTCCATGGACCATATCTAAACGGCCATGCTCATTGGTCGATTGTTGTTGATCAGGATTCACTTGAAGAGATTTATGCTTTTGATTTTGACAAGGAGACATTTAAGTTGTTCCCATCTCCTCCTGTTGAAACTATACAAGGAAGTCGATTCCATTTCCGAACTTTAGCAGTTCTTAAAGGTTGTTTATGTCAATCGGATACCTTTGATTCTCAATTCACGATGTGGGTGATGAAGGAATATGGGGTCAAGAAATCTTGGGAAAAAGAAGTGATTATCAAGAAAAGTATTAGCCCCAGTATTGATTGGTTGATGTCGGGACCTATCTATCCTATTGAGCGTTTAAATGATGGAACAATTTTCATGGTCTATTATCAAGACAAATTGTTGATATATTCTCCAAAGGGAAGAACAATTGCAAATTCCGAACTTTTTGACAACTGTGTATCTGGAATGCCTTATTGTCCTAGCTTTCTTAAGCTCCAGAACTTTGAATCAGAGAGAGTTTATGTGTTTTAGAGGTTAGTAACAGGAACACCAACTATCATTTTGTTATCAAACAACCAATTTGTGTTCAAACAATTACCATAACATTTAAATGTAAGTATCTACGATTAACACCCACTACTTCATCGAAATGGATGATTTGTTCTAGCTTACGTAGGCCTTAGAACTTTCAGCTTTAGAGAGTTCGTGTGTCCTAAACGCCAGGAAAGTTTCTACTCATTTCCCATATGAGTCAAAAGAAGTCGATAGAGTTTGATTTCATTTAATGTAAAATAATGATTCAGCCTAAACCTTCTATATAAATTTATGTTTTATGTCATAATAGATCCATATTAAGTAAATTAAAAAGTATGTGGGAAAAATTCCCCATGTTGACTGGTCCATTTGGTGCTCCTCTCCCTTTACGGTGATGTCCCTACGCACTTGGAAATAAACGTGGCTGTCAATAAGACTAGTTATTGTGGGCTAGTTGTTATGGCCCACTAGTTATCATATCTAAAAATTGTCATTTGACATATAACACCAAAAGGAGGAAATGTGCAACTAATTATAACATTCAATGTCATTATTTTTTTTCGATTTATTTTTTTATATTTATAAAAACAAAATTAATTAAAACATGTTATTTAAATAAAACCTATTTTTTTAATTAAACATAACATTTAAAAATCTAAAAAAAAAAAGAATTACAACAAAAAAAAATTACATTTTCGCCCTTAATTTATTCATTTTCATTTCTGTTGTACATAAAATCAGCCAAATCTTCTCGATGTTGCTTGTGTTTTTGTGCGTCTTGAATATCTACAACACTATGTAAATATTCCGTTGTCCTAGGTTGAAATTACATGTGTCTGGGCTCTGAAGCTGAATACTCCGTAATATTTCATCATTTATCTTCAATCACCATGTTATGTATTATGATACATGCATACATAATATCTTGTAGAACGTCTAACTGATATGGTCGTGCCGCATGCTCAACGATGTGCCATTTCGACTTTAGAACTCTAAAAGCATGTTCCACATCCTTACTGTAACATCTATATTTTTTAGGTTTGCTTTTGGACCCTTGAGTTTTGATTTTGTTGCAAGAAGGCTCCCCAATATCAAAGTCCATGACTTTTGGTGTGACTCGAGTACGCGGGCCGTACGCCTTGGTACGCTGAGCGTACTAGGTCCCGTGCGAGTACGATGCGCGTACTCCGATACGCCGAGCGTACGTGGTTCAGACTAAAACCCTAATAGTTAGGATTTGTGCGCTATTTAAACACCATTATGGCCCCAGGACCTTCCCCTTCATCAACCTCCATCCCAAGATCGAGCCTCTTTGCAAACCTTAGTTCATTTTCAGCATTTTGAGCTTTTTGGAGTGATTGTGTGCTTCCTTGGTTGTGAAAAAGGATCTTCAAGGAAAAAAAATTTGCCCTCAAGACTTTGGATCCAACATCTCCTCTTCATTTTGCACCATTTGGAGGTATAAAGCTTTAAACTTGGCTTGTGTTCCTTTAGATCTTAGTTAAGGTTTGTTTTCTTCCTTTTTGTCCCCAAAGTTTAGGGCTTGATGAGTATGAGGTACTCCTAAGCCTTCAAGGTGTCTTTTCAGACGTTTTAAGGCATCTCAAGTCATAAAGATGCAAGCTTGGATCTTGATTTGTCCCCATCCAAGAGTAGTGTAGAAAAGGGTGAAATAGGCTAGGTTTATAGTGTTGGGCTTCTTGTAGCCATGCAAAGCCATAAAGTTTGCAACTTTATGGCCTCAGGGGTCTTAGTGGATTCAGATCTAAGTTTTGGTCGTAGGATCTTAAGGCATTAAGACACTTTGCATGATTTTGCATGAGGGGTGCATACATCGGGCGTAACTCCCTGTACACCGCCCGTACTACATCCCAGTCGCGATCCTCCCGCTTCGGCCGAGTACGCCAGTTGGTATGCCGAGCGTACGACCCAGTCCAGCTTGGGGTGATTTTTGGGCCTTAGTCGTTGGGCTTGTTTGTTGGGCTGGACCATGGACTTTCTTATTGATGGGCTACTTCAGATGATGGGCCCATATTGGACCTTGGATGATCTTTGGGTCTGGGCCTAGGATTTTATTGGGCTTAAGAGACTAGCTTGGCCTTGGACATTAGGCAAGTGTTGTAGGTTTTACTTTTGGGTTATGTATCAATTATTAATTAGGACTTTATTGTTTAGTTAGCACGAGGATTTCTCCATTCTAGCAGCCTGAGCGTTTATCTGGGATTTTCAGCAGTTGAGGTGAGTTTCCTCACTAGATCCATGGGTATCCGCATTTTAAATAATTTGTGCTCTGATGATTTAATACTATGATTTGTATGGGTTCCGAACAATTAGTGGATGTTTTGAATGATTTTTAAACAAAAAAAAATATTTACTATTTTGGGACGTTACAAGTTGGTATCAGAGCCTTGGTTTGAGGGATTCGGACACACTTACAGGTGTGTCAGAACTCAACCTGAGGAAATGATAATTTTCTTAAGAAAATAAAAGGTTAAACTTCTAAAAATGTTTTATCAAAAAGGAGGGGGTGTGGTGTGTGTGATCAGCCGAGCTTAAGTAAGTGGTTCACAAGTTAACCATACTTATGTGTTATGATTAGTGTGCTTGATATGAGAATTGCATACTAGATTAGGGCTAAGGATACCTTCAGGAATCGTATGATAGAATTGTCTGATTTTTGTGATGCCTTATAGCCAATAGAACATGATGCCATGTATTACTTGGAATTGATATCGGCTCAGTTATTTGCTAAGTGTATGATTTCAAAGTTGTATATGATTAGGATTGTATAGCCCTAGAATGATTGATTTAGCCTCATTTCCCGTTCCTTGTTTGGTTGTGGACTTAGGGTATAATCTTCATTTGACAGTCTATGTGATCCTATTTTGTGTACTACTCGCATGCATAAGGCAACCAGCGGTATTGATTGAGGTTTTTGGTTCCGCGAGTGGTGAAAGTTGAGAGTTCCTAGGAGAGTCAACGATATGTATGTTGTGTAGCATAAGATTTGTTTATGGTTGTAGGGTGGTAACTTAGAGGAATCAGGATTGACCTTGAGGAAGGTACAAGTAGGTGTGAAAGGTAGTATTAGACCCGTACTACTAGAAGCACAAGACCTGTACCTGAGCCAAGAGTAGACCTGGCAACTCTAAGGAGGCCTTTGTGTTGGGAATGTCTCCCTCGAGTCATATCTGAATGTTATTATGTTGTATTCCAGTTTGAGGATGGTGATGATTACTCGTGGAGGTTCAGGTTCGGGTTCAGGTTCGGGCTCTGGTTCAGGTGCTGAACCAATTGATGAGAGGATGTGTGAGTTCATATTGGATGAGGTTACTCATGGTATTTTGGATGTTACCCCTATACTGTTCGGTACCATCATGGAGGGGATTATGGAGTTGATGGATGAGAGGCTCAGGACTTTTCAAGGCGAGATTGTTGCAGGTCAGATTGGAGCTCGAACTCCCTCATTTCGGGTGTTCAAGGATTGTGAGCTCTAAGAGCCTCATTAAGCCATGCATGCACGTAAATTTGGCAACTTTACGTGATAAACCATCTTAAGGAAGTTGGATCTGAGTTTAGGTTGAGATCTTAATCGATTAAGAGCTGGAAAATGGAAGTTGGCCAAATGGGGGGACTACGTTAGGCGTACAAGCAGGTACGCTTAGCGTACAAGCCCTAAAGCGAGTACACTGCGCGTACGTGATGAGCACGCCCCGTGTACTCAGCAGGTTGGGTTTCAGACTCTTGGGCTGTTGGTTTGGGCCATGTTTGGACTTAGAGGCCTTGTTGGGTCATCAGGTTTCTGGGCTGATGATTGTTTTGAGTTTGCTAGAAAAGGCCCATGAAAGAGATTTGGGCCCAATTTGGAAAATTAGGCCATAATCAGGCTTGAGGTGATTTTTTTTGGAATTTGGGCTGTTGGACAATTGGATTGGGCCTAGGCTTTGGGCCAAGTTAGGTAAAGGGTAAAAAGGTCTTTTACCCTAGTTTAGACTCTTTGTGTGAGTTGGGATCCAATTATTGATTGGATGATTATTTTGTGATTGATAGCACGAGGAATTTTAGCCGGCCAACAACCATAGATTCTTTCTGTGAGATTTGGCAGTATGAGATGAGTCTCCTCCTTGTATCCATGGGTCGAAGGCACCAATGTCGGCCCATTACTCGGTTATGTAGATTGCTAGCTGTGGTGATATATATATATATATATATATATATATATATATATATATATATATATATATATATATGTGTGTGTGTGTGTGTATGTGTGTGTGTGTTGTATGATCGGGTTGAAATATACCCCATGGCAGGGTCCATCCTTGCTTATTGGGTTGGAATATACCCCAGGACTAGGCCCAAATTGTATGTTTGGTATGTGGTATTTTGGGGAACTCACTAAGCTTTGTGCTTACAATTTTTAGTTTACGTTTCAGGTACATATGTTTTCAAAGGGAAGAGCTCGATATGATTGCAGAGCACACACCTCTCGATTCCACAATATGTGAGTCACTCTGATTATTACGATGTATTGATAAAATTTGATTACCTTGGTTTTATGACAACGATATGGTTTATTGTTTTATAAACTTAAAAATGGAAAATTTTCGGGTCTTATTTTGAGACGTTACAACGTAGCTTGTTTAAAATGGGTTGCATGTTCGACTGAGTACCCTGGGTGTACTCATGTGTATTGTTGGGCGTATGTGGTAGGTGAGAAAACCCCAATTTTTAGATTTTGAGCACTATTTAAACATCCTTATCCCTCAAAACCCTTTCCTCCATCAACCTCCATCTCCCAAAAACGTCCCTTGCAAACCCTAGTTCTTTGTTGTGTAATTTTGAGCTTGAAAAGAGTGTGTTCTGGTGCTTGTGAAGGAGAAAAAAGGTGGTAGATCATCTTGGAGGCTCAAGGCAACTTATATCCAAAAGTATCTCACCCTCAAGCATCCACTGAAGGCATAAAGCTTGGAACTTGATGAATGTTTTCCTTGGAT